ACGTTCAGCGCAAAATATAATACTTAGGTTGTTCGTTTTTGTTTTCAAGTAATTGTTAAATTATTTTATGGAACACTGCTAATAATTTTATAAAAAATTAATATCAAGTGTACAGAAGAATTATTTAATCAACATAAAATTTTACTCGAGATACATGAGTATATATAAAATTTATATAAATTTTACAAAGTTGTATAAATAATATAGAATATTTAAATAAATAATATTATTGTAGAAAATCTTAGAGTAAATCGAAGGTCGTGTTCCAAATCATGGTAAAATATCGAAAGTTTCCTATTTTAACAATGCTCTTATTTGATTTTCTATTATAATTAGTTCATGAGTATGTGATTGTATTCGCAGCATATTTTCAAATTTAAATTGACATCAAAGTGTTGAGGTGAGAACAGTTCTGAAATTAAAAATAAGTAAATACCAATAACATTCTTAACGCTTTCACTTCAACTTGAATTTATTCTCTTGAAACGAGTCTAAGTCTAATCGTATTTTACAACGTATTGTATTTAATTTAATTTTCAATGAGAATAACCCTGTATTTGGGAATGGCTATTATATTTTACAAATCTATTTATCGTTTACTAATAAATTTATTTTTCTTCTTATTCTCTTTGAATTATTACTTTATATGTAGCATACGTACATAGCTATTGAATATTCAACACAAATCAATTTTTAAAATAAATTCTGTTGCGTTAATTCACTTTTCTATACCCTCTATACAATATACGTATAGTTCATTTTGTGAGCTACAATTTACTATTAAATGAATAAACGTGATCTATTTAGTTATAAATAAATTTTGAATTTTTTTTTGAAATTAATTCTATTTCAGTTTTTCTTTTAAAACTTAGCATTCAAGAAAATTTTTACATTGTAAATTTCATAATTCACCATTTTTTTTTTGCATTATAAATATTTCAAACATTCTAAAATGCTTTTTTTTAGAGCAAAAATTTAAGCATAGCATTGAATTATTTCTTAAGTCGTCGATTTCTTAAAAAAGAAAAAAACATAACTTTTTTAGCATGATAAATTGAATCGGATCGCCAATAATAATAAGTTTATAAATTTGAAATTGAATTTTAACTTAGTTTAACATCTCTTTGTGGCGGCACTAATAAAGTGTGATCATAATTTTTTAGGTGTTAAAATTTGAGTTACCAAATTATTAAAATTAGTTTTTCTTTTATTACTTAAGGCCAATCACTTGGAATATTATGAAAATAATTTATGAATAATGTGAAAGGAAAATTTTTCTCAAACAGTTGTTTGATATTTAAGCACACAAAACCTAAACCACATTCTTTTAGTGAATAAAACAAGTATGTATAGCGAGTTTTGATAGTGATGGAGACGTAAATTTTTAATAATATGAAGTTCTTAATGAGCTGTTCTTATTATTTTAACACGTTGAAAACAGTGAAAAGTATTCTGAATTCCCGTGATTGCTGATTACAAACATCTTTACTGTTCTCATGTTCTACATAGTTGCAATATTGTAATATAATAAATTCTAATGCGTGCAATATTGCAGCTGCAATATTATAATATACAAATTCTAAATGACGTAATTATATAGAAGTAAAAGGCACCTATTAAAGTCTACCGCATTCAAAAGTGCTAGTTATTAAAAACAATTGGGAATTGAAAATATTGAATAAAGATAAGTGGTAAATGTTGTTACAATGGTAAAATATCTTCAATTTGATAAAAGTCTACAATTTATTGATTAACCACCCTTTGATTATTAATGTATAAAATTTCCGACAGAAACTCGAATTTCAAATTCCTTATGGATGGCAACTCGAAAATTATATTTTTTACATAAAATTTTTATTATTATAATCCTTTTGAAATACTTCACCCGCAAAATAATTTATGGAATTTATGATATGAATAAAAAATTGCATATTAATAAAATATGAAGAAAATAAGAAAAAATAAAACAGAAATATTAAATATATAAAATATTCGCAAAATGTCAAAATAATTTACAATTAAGAAAATGCTCTTAAATAAATTAAGAAGCATCCAAGCATAATAAAGTAAAATTTATATAGATTAAAAGTATATACATATAAATAGTTGTACACACATATATAGGGGCTCTCCGATTACTTTTTGAAATCTGTAAAATAATAATATATATACTTAGACACATAAACACACAAGTAATCAAGTCTTATTACGAACGGGCATTTTTAATGCAAGAGAGAAAAGCTTGATATTCTACTTTACTTTATTTTTGTTTTTATTTTTTTTTTTTTTTTAACTGAGAATCTCAAATTTCATTCTACTTATTATGCAAAAACTATAAACACAAAGTAGTATAATAAAAATAAAATTTTCGAATTCAATCTTTAGCCTTAAATACTCTTATCGTCATTATAAATTGTGTATATCATTTTATAAATTTCTATCATCATCAAATCAACAACCGTACTTTTTTAACATTTTTTTTTCTTGAAATATACGCACGTATACTGGTTTTAAATATTGAACTTTTTAATATTAAGTACTTACTTGTACATTGATTTTTGCAAAATATTTTGCAGCGAAATTTAAAAAAAATGGTCCAAATTTATCAGGTTTCTAACAGTCGCTAAATATTTACTCAAAAATTCATAAACTATGGTTCCAATAAAAATTGGCGGATATTCGGGTTAAAAATTCGGATTGAAAAGATTTTAATCAAAATATTTTGGGATTAAAGCTTATATAGATATTTCCGATAATTTTTAAACGACATTTATTCGGAAACAATGTTTCCGAATTATACTCCGAATTATTTAACATTCCGAATTTATGTAACTAGTTGGGACAATATTTTGGCGTTAAAGCTTGCATTGAATTTACAATTGTTTTTAACCAATATATTTTATTCGGAAAAAATGTCTCCGAATTATATTCCGAATTATTAAAAATAATTATATCCGAACTTATATAATTTTGAATACGTCATTTGTAAGAGAAGAAAATTAAGAAATATTGAAATTCTTAGACTTCCATTAAAGTTATTTTAGTGACTCGTTGCTTAATGAAATTTTCGAGTACATGTACAAAATATATTCACACCTATTGTATTAATTATTGTTCTCTTTGATAAAAATTTTATTTACAACATTGTATACTTTAAATTCTATCACAATTTCTTACTTATATTTTCAGCTTATTGTATTCATACAAGTACATAATATACATAAAAAATTGACACTTGAATGAACGACTATTCGAAGGTGAATACTTAAAAATTTGCAAAAACAAAAAACTACGAAAACAATAAAATAAAAAAGTCTGAGAAGGCAATTTGATATTTTCAAAAGAATTTGATTTTATAGAGAGAATCTCTAGGTTGACTGATCTATTCTATGAGTATATATAAGTGCGCTGGGTGTCGTTCATAAATTTTATAACTTTATGGGTATTTAAGTAAAGAGAAACAAAATAGCCTCATTTTTATATTGAAATCTTAAATTACAAAATATTTGCCATTTATAGCAATATTGAATATATTCACACAAATGAATTATGTACCTTCATATTTACATACGAGTATATGTACATAAATATATTGTATATGAATAAATCAAAATTTTATAAACTTTTGTACAAATTTTTGTATTAAATTTTTTAAAATGTTTCAGTTCAGGGTTTTGATATTTGTAATTGTAGAAGGACGAGGATATGGACCCCAAGGATGCTATTCAAATAATCTATCTCATAACTTCGATTTTAATTGTATTTACCTATAATGTATGTGTCTTATGTGTTGGAGATATTGATTTTAGTAAAGTAACTGAACGTGTTTTGAATAATAATTTATTAACAAAAAAACATGTGAGTTCGGACGAAGAGATAAAGACACTTCGCATTTAACTTTTCATTCACTTATATGTTGGGATTCTGCTTTTCATTACGCTTAATATAATTAGAAAATTCTTATAATTAATTACAAAGAAATTAATAGAAGAAAATACTTTCAGAATCAAGTTCAAATTTTAGATTGGAGACCCATCATATTTCATTTTTTTTCCCATTAATTTAATTTTTATTTTATTTGTTTTTGAAACACTTTCAACTTAAGAGACAACACAGAATTTTTATAAAAACCAATAAAATTTAATATTTTCATTCAATATTCATGCAATAGCTTAATAGTTTTATTCTATACCGATTTCTTACGAACTGAAATAGTCTTTGAAGAAAAACTTTTTATCAGAAATTTTTTTTCCTTCTCTCTTTCGTTTTTCAGCAAAATTCTATCAAAATCTTAAAAATTAAAATTTTAGACAGGTTCTTGATTGCAATCACAAAAGTTTTAAAAATTTTGTGGACACAGCAATTCATTTTATTTAATATTCTGCTCTTAACAGTTTCTTATTCTCAGTTCACTTATTCTACGTTTTGTCTCACAATTTACCATACTTGGAAAAATACTTTTTCTCTTTGTACATATAAAAATTATTTGGTTTTCATAGAATTTGAAAAAGGATATTTCCTGAAGGATGCTATTTATTTATATTATCTCTTTGTTTCTTCAATGTGTTTGTGTCAAAAGTGTAAACCTTAAACTTTCCAATATTTCCGTATTTTTCACGTTTTGTAAGTTGCATACAATCAAATAGAAATCCCGAAAACTAATATTTTTGCTTTAAAAAAATATTTCATTTATTAAAATTCACTGATATTAACCGTTTAATGCATTTTATAACGTGAAATTGAATTTTTACGATATTTCATAATTTGATTTTATTAAGAAATTTGTTTGAAATACCATTTAATTTTTAACAATAAATCATAGTTAATTAAAAATTAAGATTAAATTTAATTATTTTTTATACAAAAAGCGAATATTGAAAATAAAAAAAGCTTGAAAATTTCTTATACAATTTTAAACAATGCCCGCAAACCAAATACCAAATTGACTTTAAATGGTAAACAAAAAAAAATTAATTTAATTTTTTTTTTCTCTATTACAGAATTTCAACCGGCGTAGTTTGGATTCTTCTGAAATAGAGCTTTTAAGACTGAGAAAGGTAAGTTTTTGTATTTTTTTTTTTACTTTTGTGTGTAATTAATTTAAAAATTTAAAATCTAGATTAAAAACTAATTATATTGAAGTAACCAACTAAATCAATTATATACTTTTGAACGAAATGCATTTTTAATTACACAAAAAGTGAAAAACTATCAACGAGAAATATTTAACTGAAGAAACTATTGATATTAAACAGAATTATATTATTGACCCTTTTACACCTTCCAAAAAATATTTCATAGTTTCTAATTATTTAACAAATTTACAGATTAGACATATTAATTGTGCTAATTATCATAAGATAGATTACAAAGGCAGTTCCGTATTTGCTGCTTAAATTGTGTGAACTTGCTCAACATTTTCATTTCACGATATTGATTTGTTGTTGATTGTGATAATGATATGAAGAGCAAATTCTTATGGAATTAATATTGGGAGCTCCAACAACTTATTAACTACAGTTTAATAAAGCTACTGTTTGTAAAAAAATTTCTGCCGTATATATTTGAGAAGTTTAGGCTTTGTACCAAATCATTGTCACTAAAAGTTTAGTAAAATTTTAAATATTTTAGCAGTTCTTTAATTGTTTACCAAACGATATCCTCATATATAAAGTCAAACTTTGTTTTTTCACATGTTCAAACATTTCTATGATCGTAATTTGAATAAATGTCCTCTAATTTTTACATTTTCTCAGATTATTAAAAAAAAAATCCTTCCGTTCTAAAACAAATTTCAAAAATCGCCAAATTTTTAGACAAGTTTTTCAATTCTCATGTTAAAATTAGATCGTATTCAATTAAATTTTTTCTAATTTTTCATTTTATTCTGTTCAAAAATTTTGAATATATTCAACCATGAAGGCGAGTAAATTTTTCTAATATTATAAAAATATGTTAATGCAGTTACGGTAAAGTTAGGGTTATATACGGTGAATATTATTTTCATTTCTTTCAATATTATTAGACCTAGAAATTTAAGTAATCAATCATTTTAACATTTTTGACTTTTTATAACTGACTATAACGGATAATAAAACAATTATAAACTAAATAGTAGAGCAGTTTTTTCTTTTCTTTATTTAATTTTCAAAATCCCTTTTATAGCTGCACTACTTGGTATAAAAATCAATTAATTTTCAACCAATTTTTTTTTAATAAAATTCTTTCGATAACTTTAATTAACAATTTCAGACAGAGTGGCAGAGAGAGGGAGGAAAAAAATTGGTTATTTATCTTTTATCGTAAAATAAATTACATAATGTTTAAAAGAAAAAATTATAATAACTAGTCAGTTTGGTTAGTTATAAATATCAGTTGAAATTTTTAAGTAGCTCAATGATGCAATTTTCAGTTACTTAGTTATTTTTTTTTCTTGTTTTTTCGGTATAAATGTACATTGAATTTTTAACTCAGCAAGTTACTAATTTTGGGCAAAAATCAACTTAAAATAAGAACAAAAAGAAACTTATTTTACAATATAAATTAAAAATTTAAAAAAGTTTTTACCTAAATATATACAAGTATATATGTACATATATAGGTACATTATTAATGATATTTTTGGACGAATGGATACTTATAGATAGCGCCACCACTTACACTATAAATGGAAATAAAAAATTAAAAAAACTTGCAGACAAACAATAATTGTAAAAAAAAAAAAAACAAGTACAACGCCCTGGTCCAGACAAAATTGTAAATCTGGCTAACTGGTTAAACCGTGTGCTCAATAGCATTAAATGTAATAAATCATGCGATGATTATGCTATGTTGAATTTAAGTACCAAACTTTCAGTAATTTTTATAATAACTTTTCTTTTTCTTTGGTTTAATATCAAAATCAAATTCCTTCATTTTATTTTATTTACTTATTATTTTCATATAATGCTCTTCTTATACAGTTATGGCTTACCTTTTAATATCAAATCAAGGAATATTGTAACATCTTGTAATGTTGAAGCAATTAAAAATAAAATATTGTTGATATCGTAAATTCAAATTCCAATATAAATTTAGGATTAAAATCACTGTAATGAAAGCCATTACAGAGATATCGTAAATTAATTAGAGAGACTAAGGAGACTTGGGGAATAAAATATGTTAAAATTTACGAGAACAGCTGATTGTTTTTTAATGTTAACTGATTGTTTGCCTGTAACTTTACACAAAAAAAACTTATTCTCTCGGTATAAATAGTTCTAAAAAAGAGAATTCCGTCGTTGTAAAAGTAATTCTGTCAAAATTTTTCGTTTAACGTGATAACACAGTGAAAGATTTTTGTTTTTACGAAGTCTTCTTAATTTACGAAACAACTTTACTACAATAGTAACTAACATCGACATGCAATAGTAACTGGCATGGAATTAAATGTAAACTCAAATACTAGTAGCATTTTAGAGGAAGTTAATCTCGAAAACCCTCTAAAAAGAAAAATCTCAAAACCTGATCTAATTAACGATTTATGGCATTGAAAATACCGACAAAATATTCAAACAAAATATTTGGCCCGATTTTAAATTAAACTTTTAACCATCTCTGATCAAAAAATTTGAAAATAAATGAGCATTACTAAAATGTTTACAGTTATAGTAGATATGACCATGAGGAATGAAATTAACTATAAGATTCATAACAATGAGAAGAAGAAAAAAAACGGCACGATAAAAAAAGTTTCAGATAATTAGATAATACGAAAAAAATTAAATAAGTAAAAGAAAGGTGGAGTGAAAGGAGATAAGCAATAGCTGTCATTATGGTATCTTATCGATGATAAATAGTGACTTTTTTATTAGGTGAAGTATCTATCGGATCTAGGAAGTTAATGAATAAAAATTAAAAAAAAAAAAAAACAAGAAAGTTAAAAAAAATGGTTTGGAATTTTTTTATTACAGCAGCACGCAGTTTTTTTTTTTGTTTCTGTTTATGTTTTGAAGTATTAATTGTGTGACATTACACAGTTACTTGTTACGCAATTATTTTGAATAACCAAAACCAATATTTACTGCTATACCATCTTATATTAAGGATGACATAACAATGACGTAGCAAAATACTAACTTATATAAGGAAACTTACGAATAGATAAACAAATTAACAAACGCACAAGAAAGCAAGAATGTTATACGGTCAGCATAGTTAAAATTAAATATTTGGCCCAAATTTTTTTTGTAAGATCACGTAAATAATTAAAACATATTAGTTTTACGTTATAAGCAGCCTTAAAATATACTTGGTTTTTCAATAAAGAGCTCTGGCGGTGGATTTTTGTCAAGCAAACGATGTTGAGAAGCCAATTTATGTAAATATTTTCAACATTATGTTTCTGAACAGAGTAACTGTAATGCTTACTGTGGCATAATGTTTACTGTCACTATGCATTTATTCTGTTACTATATTGATGTAAGGCCCTTGTGACAGCAGTTTTGATATTGACTGAATATTTGAAAACCAATTCGATTGAATTTAAAATTTTTTTATTTATTAATATTTATAAAATGTACATTTATTAATTTTGTACACTTTATAATTTTATAAAGCTATCAAGTACTCATATTTACACACAATCGTAAATTTTAATCACTTTTTTCATAAAAGGAAAATTTATCACCGTTTATTTTTAATTCACTATTATTGCTAACACTACATTTCTATAGTGAACGTAAAAATTAATTTTCTTTTTCTTTTAAAAAAATCACTGTTTATTGTCTACCTGTTCATAATCGTCGGTTAGTTTATTTTATTTCTATAATGTGTTTATAAGAACTGGGTGGGTCATTTACGGTTTTCTTTTCAAGAAAATCATGAACAAAATAGTGATTTTGGGTACCGTTATATTTTTACTTGAAAGAGTACAATGAAGCGCACTTTTTATAATAAATTTTCTTACTCCATAGAGTTTCTTTAGTTTGCGCTAACTCTATATAATGACAATAGTGTTTTCGTCATGTATTCGTCGAATCTTGGCCAATTCCTATTCGACCTCAAAGCGAAGCTCTTCTCAATCTAAGATTTTGTATAGTTACTCTCGACATGCTCTTACTAAAATTTTACTATTTTAGTTCTTCACATAGCCATATCTAATCACAAAATTTTGTGTGAGTTAAAAATTGCTATCATTTTTTAAAAAATTAGAAATTGCTGAAATAACTTGATTTTATTCATTCGTATATGTGCCCGCTTTTATTTAAAAACTATAATGTAAGACAAATAAGCAATAAGACAATTATAAAACTAAAAATTGCTTGTATTCCAAGCCTAATTGTTTCACTGCAATTAATACACGGTAAATGATTCACTCTGTACATATGTACATATACACAAAATATAAGTATTTTAATTATGGGTACAAACAAACTTTTTTCCGTAATTCGTATATCATTTATCATATAGCCTTTGTGTCAAAATATCACACGAAATTTTTTAAAAATAAATAATCACAAAAATAGAAATTAGAAGAAAGCAAGGCTGCAAAAAATAAAAATCCAAACGTTATTTTCAACTTAAATAATAAGCACTAAAAAAAATTAATCAAATATTTTTTGATCTGTATCGGTACTATAGATTAGGTCAACCTTTGTAATTCGGATATTCCAGTTAAAAAAATGACATGCTGATACTCGTAACATGTGAAAATATTGTGTGTGAAATCATACGAAATTGGTCTGGATGTTAGTTTTATTCAATTGTATTTAGGTTTTAAATTGACTGGGCCAGAGGTTGCTTGATATTCTTCATTAAATTGGCAAATTTTGGTAACATTATTAAGGAGACATTAGAGAGTAAATTCGGTCTACTACGGTAGTAATGATTCCGTAGATTACTGCGGATAATGATTTAATAGTATTAATGAGTTTAGCCTAAAACAAATGTGTATTCCAATATTATTCTCAAAATTGTTTATACCTCATGCTCTTATATAAAAATTGAATTTATTATGCATGCATTATCGAATCTCAAAAGTATATGAAAAAAAATAAATTCAAACAAAATCCAACAC